TTGAATATGATGTCTGCCAGCCCCAACAGACTCAGAATGGTCACTAAGTGATACTCTATAGTATTTTCCTTTGCTCCTCCCTCAAGTAGCTGGGGAGGAGCTGGGTCAGCATAGACAGTAATTAGCCACTCCATGGACAGGATAGGGCTATAATGTAGAAGGAGGGAGTGGGCTGTGCTGGGGAATTGACTCTCATTGAGAAGTTAAATTTTCTAGAAAGTTCAAAGGCACATTGCAAATGAATAAAATGGAAAATAAAAATGCTGCAAATAATCCTTTAAATTGTATAATTTTTTCTGTGTTTTTTAACCTGCATTTTTTTTTAAGTTGGCAACAGGGTCTCTATAAAGCAAAACAGGCTCGCTGCACCAAGTGAACACTGCTCATTTAGTAAATCAACTAACAATATAGAGTACAGCAACTGTGCAGTTTCTGGGAAACTAAAAGTCTCATCATGTCATTGAGGCTTCTAGTTATCCTATTCATTTATATAGCTCCAAACCATCCAGCGAGATTAATGCTAGCCATATCTATTGGCTGAACAAGATAAATCTGATTCCTCCTTCACTAAATAGCTGTCAGCAATTGTATTCAAGAAACCATGACACCTGCAGCTGTCCAAATACCTGAACAGTGATTGCATCTTCAAGAGCTGGAGTTCAGATTTAATTACTTTTCCTAGCAGCAGATATAAATTGTAGTGTAAAGAGAATTGTATTTATTCTGTTTTCATTTGGGCAACAAAGCCAGCCCAGGTAATAAAATGACTATGGCTACTACTAGTATTACCACCGTTCCATATCCTTAGGACAGCCAAAGTTGACATCAAAGTTTAGGAATGAGCCATTCTTTGGGCAAGTCCCTGGTCACACAGGCTACTCTAGACCTACACATAATTTACTGTATAAGTCTTGGGAAGGGACCCTACTCTGACAAATATTTGAATAAAGAAATATCTCTGTTGCCCCTTAACCATACTTTTCCAGCATAGGGAAGCTTTTTTCAAACCTAATGAAATAGGCTGACTGTTATGCAGAGACACATCAATGATGACTGAGGCTGTGGGGTGATCAGCGTGAACAATACAGCAGCACTTAAACATTGTCAGACCATGAAAAGGCATAATTATTCTGACAGCATAAGCTGCATTGTCCTCAGAGTGCATGTCACCCATGCGTCCCATTTTTAAAGCCTAATCTTAGCTTTAAAAAAATGTAAAAATCAGCACAAGGGATAATACTTTTAGCCAATGTACTTACAGTCAATATAGCTGTAATCCTCTGGTGCAGCAGGGTTAATACACATATATTATGAGTGCCAAGTATGTGTGACCTTTCCATCCTCCTCCTCCATTCATAGAACTGTACTATAGCTTCTATCAATCAAAAGCCATCTAGGAAAGGAGGACAGATGAATGAATGAATGAATGAAAGGTCTGCCTCCTCCTTTTATAGATTTCTTTTAATTCAAGGAAGCTATAGTTTTATGAACGGGGGGGGCGGGCATGCAAAAAGGGCAGGTATAGTTGGCACTCTTGGCAATTACCTGTGATAGGTCTGTCTTTTCGTATTAGTCCCGCAATTGTAATCTTCCGATTCCAGTGCTCCCCCTTAGAGGAAAGGGTCAGAGCAATTTGAATTTCAACTAAAACTGTAGCCAACAGCACAAGGGGCGCTTCACGTTAACTGTAAGTACAGCCCCTTGTGCTCATTTTTTCAAAAGAAAAGTTTTGATAGAGCTAATTAGGCTTTAATCCCATGTCCAGGACCCAATGGTCAAATTTAAATTACTGTGCACAGCTGCTCCAGATTCTGTCTGCTCTATTAATTCTGCAGCAAAACCATCACATATTAGACTGTTACTGATCTAATGTATAGTTTCTTGCATGTCTTTTTGTTCTAGCTTCAGATAATCCCAGATACATGCTGTGCATAGGGATTAAACCCCTGTTACAGGGATGCAATGGTCAGATATAGCATGATGTTTAGACATCAGGTTTTATCTGCTGCATCACTGGCTGGCCTACTGCTATCATCTCTGTGTGTATGTATGACAGTACTGCAGTTCATGGAAATATTGCTGTTGTATACGCAGGAATCACTGCCAAAAGTCTTGGCACCAGTACAGCTGGCATATAAATTACTACTGGAATTGTCTGAATCCTTATCCTCTGCTTGGGTGACAGTACAATCTGTGCATGCATTGCTTTGTAGAACTGAAAAGTTTTGCTCAATGTTCTGAGCAGAGGTGCCACTTAAGTACAGGTCACTGCAGAGTGCCTGGAGGTTCTTTTTCACAATCTTCCTTCCATCTGAACTGGTGTATATATCACTCTGTAAGCTTTCAGAAATTTTGTTTGTTTGTAGCCCACCAATAATGTTAATTTCACCTTCAGGTTTTTGAGCATTCTTTAACTCTGCTTGTGTCCCCCTATAAATAGTATACAGATCACTCTGGAAGCTACCCATAGTCTTTTTCTCTCTTTGATTTCCTTTGAAACTAGTGTACATATCATTTTGGACATTTTGCAAGTCCTTGGGTAGTTTCTCATCACAACTAGTGTATATATCACACAGATAGTCCTTATTCTCTGTCTGCATCCCACCACAACTAGCATATAAATCTTCTGGGAGAATTTCAGAGTCTCCTTCCTTTGCTTCTGCCTCTCCACACGTAGTGAACCTGTCTTTCTGGAGGCTCTGGACTTCTTTACCACTGACAAAACTAGTGTATATATTTCTTGGCTGGCTTAGAGTATCCCTCTTGCCTGCTTGCGATCCACTGTAAGTGCATACATCACTTTTTGTGTCCTTGTTCTCTGTCATGCCGCCAGCACAACTAGTATATATGTTGCTCTGTAAGCTTTGAAATGCCTTGTTGCCTGCTTTTGTCTTACAGCTAGTGTGTATATCTCTCTGAAGGCCTAGAGTGTCCTTCATTTCTGCATTCGGTCCACCACAACTTGTGTATATATCATCTTGGAGAATTTCTGCATCCCTGTTCATGTGGGCGCCACCACAACTAGTGGATATATTACTCTGGCTGGTAGAGTCTTTGGTCCTAGCAGAGATATTACTCTCAAAGCCATGATAATCCATATTAATGTTCTCTTCCTTCATGAAAGAACCATTGTCAGCTTTTTTTGAACTTGCATATTCTTGCAATTCAATCTCGGTAGAGATCCTTGTTGATATGCTGGAATCCATTGTTTTACGGTTTATAGCCAATGTGTTCCTGTAGGGCTTGGGTGACCAAGTTTTGCTAGTGGAGTCTTGTGTTACAGGGCTTCCCATAAATGTGTTACAGATGGACCCTTGTGTAACAGGGCTTGTCGTTGACATATTGCTGGTGAACCCTTGCGTGATGGAAGTTCTCGCTGACTTATTGTTGGTGAATTCCTGGTTCAGGGAACCTGTCCCTGAGGTATTGCTGGTGGATGCCTGTGTGTAGGTGCTTTTCAGTGGTGCCTCACTAATAGTCTCCTGGTTCACTGAGCTTTTCTCAGATATATTGCTGGTGGACATTTGTGTGATAAAGCTTCTCATGGACGTGTTGGTAGCTGACTTTGATGCATTGCTGGTGGGCTCTGGTTTGAGGGAGGTTTCTAATGATGTGTCTCTGGTGACCTCTTGATTTATGTCATTTCTCACTAATGTAATGTTGGTAGCCTCCTCTGTCATGGGGCTTCTTAATGGTGTATCACTAGTGGACCGTTGTGTCCCAGAGCTAATCACTGAGTTATTGCTGGTAGACTCTAGTGTCTGTGAGCTTGTGACTTGACTATTTATTCCAAGCAGGCTGCTGGATGGGCTCCATTCAGAAGTGTTGCTGTTTGTTTCTTCTCCTGAATCTTGAGGAGTTGTAACTGTTGGCAGTTCTGTAAGGTCTATAAAAAAACACTATTAGTAGGTTACCAATTTAAGATATTAAATTGAAGAAATAACTGGTTTGCAACTGGACTTTTTATAACCAAAATTAAAGGAAAATTGTAGATTTTCTACCTTCCAAAAATTATACTTTATAATATAAATAAATTGTATACACAAGATGGATTATATCCAGGAACGTGTTTGTTGTGAATACCTGAAGCCTTCAAGGCAGACCTCCCGCTATGTAGCCCCTGGGATTTCAAGCAGCATTTGCAAACCTTTGGTCGGTATCACCTGTTTGTTTTTATGTGTGCACTCCTCTACATTGTGGATAAGTACTACAATACACATACCATGCAGATCCACAGCTATGGGTGATGGGACACCATAGCAAAACTAATACAGGATCACCCATTTATCTGTCAGCATCCTTAAAACAATTCATTTAGTCATGCATAATACCAATTGCTTTCACAGCACATATAGAGGTCCCCAAACTATACAATATATATTATTTGTATTCAAATGTATTTGCCAAAATTCTATTGTTACTTGCATAAATCATTATGTAGCCAGATAGTTCTACCCCCCTTCTTGTGTTTCAGGGCCCAGTAGCAGTTGCCTGGTCTTCTGTGGCTACAGATTTGTCCTTGGCACCAATGTTTAGGAAATATGGTTTTAAAACTAATAAAATCAGCCTAGAGTGCGCATTGACATCAGAGGGTGGTCTAACACTGCATATTGGCCCTCAGCTTTCTTCATCTTCCAGCAGCTCCATATACATTATTATTATATGGGATTTATATAGCGCCAACAGTTTGCGCAGCGCTTTACCAAATGAAGGCAGACTTTATGGTTACAATACAGTTTTGTACGAAAGGAATCGAAATCGGAGGGTCCTGCTTGTGCACACTCAGCTGAGTTGGGAGTAGGTTTGTGTCATGGGAATGGAAAAACAGAAGCAGCTGACAGACACCCATTTCTATAGCCTTTAGTAATAGTCTCTGAGGAATAACATCGCAATCATTTGTGTGTAAATATAAGGGGGCTCTATAATGAAGGATAACATGCAAACTTTTATTGTGATTGACTTGGAACCCTTATATGATGCTATGATAGTTATCAGGAAGTTCAGGACCTAAAAAGAAGAAATATTCTTTGAATACCATACTTACATGTGACTATGGCTTTCCTTAGTAGTTCAAACACTTTCTGGTCACCTTGACAATCTTTGTAAGCAAACATATGCCTTAGTTCTTTTGGGTACTGTTGAAATGGCAGCTTTACCAAGATCGGAATCAAACGCCCATTGCCATGTGGAGCCAATGACAGAAACTGGTGCATTTGATATTGACACCATGGGTCTGAGATGGAGCTAGAGGTCAGCAGCATTATCCAGCAATGACTGTTTTCCGCACCGTCTGTTATCTCTGTAGGTATGGCTCCACCAGGATTCATGTCCCGCATAGGCAGGAAGCAGCGTAAACTTTCCGGCTGCTTCTGTAGGTACAAGAGCAATTCATTAGCATAAGAAATGTCCTTTTCACTGGAGCAAATATATACATCATACAGCTTCTGCCAACGGGCACTGTTCTTGGGCCACACAGGGACTCTCTCAGGGGCTGGTATAGTACTTCGAGTTTTCACAGGTCTAGGCGGATTGTAGCTAGGGGTTGGTGTTGGCTTACTTTCATTACCACCCATTTTTAAAACCCTGCAAAAAAAGGAAATTTATGGTATCATAAAAATAAAGCAGTAGTGTATGACAGACTGTGCACATGACCCTAAAATTGACCCTGGACCCATATTTCCTGCTTCTTTCCCCTTAATTGCACCAAAGGAGCACCATTGCAATTTTTATAAGCTATAAGATGCTTTTCTGCTCCCAAGTCATATTGGGAACCAAATACTTTTAGCTACACTTTTTAAATATATAACATTGGCAAAGTGCTCTTAAAATTCAATTTGAAAGGCAGTTCAAATAGCAATAATATTCAGTAATCCTTGGTAACCACATTTTTTTTACATCTTCCCTTTTCCTAGCCTCTAGAGGAAACAAACATGCAAGATTTTATTATCCAAATAAATATGTCTACCAGCAATAGTGTGCACAGGACCTGTACAGAGGCGATACACATAACAGATTGGGATGGGGGGGGGGGGGGTTGCTGTGATTTCTACAGATGCATGCAAAGTTAACAGAAAAAGGTGCCATGTAGCCCAAACATGGACATGCAGGGCACTGTGCTAGGATTCCTTGATTGTCTTGGCTACATTTCCTGATGGTGTGGTACGCCAGTGTTCTGTACATTCTACAATGTACACAACGCCACTGTTTAAGCTGTGCATTCTATATTTCTATACTGTAAGTAAAGCCCACTACACACTGCATGGGTAATTTCACATGGGCGTTCTGTATGTCCATTTTTCATCTGTCCGTTTACGGATGAAAAACTGACAACCATGTATTCCTATGGACTAGCGTATGTAAACGGATGATCATCTGTTTACATCCGTTAATATCTGCATCCGTTAACATCTGTTTTTTTAATGGAAGAAAACCCTATTTTTCTTCCGTAAAAAAAACCCCCGTAACGGACAAAAAAAAAACGGATGTAAAACGAATATACAGTCCGTTTTTGCATTGGAGAAGGATGTAAAAAAACGGATTAAAAAAAACTGATCCATTTTTTCTTCCAAAAAAAAATGACTGAACTGATGAAAAAAAATCGGAACGCCCATGTGAAGTCTTTTTCATTCAAACCCAATGGGGGATGAAGCGGGGGGAGCGATATTGATGCAGCAATCTGTCAGTTTATTTCCCCATTCAACCCACTTTACACCTATACTGTGTTAAAAGGGGAAACTCAAAAAAGTAGTTTTCAAATAACTAGAATTTCCCAGCACAGAGAAATTGCTGTCTATTTTTATATTCAAATATTTTTTATTGAAAGATTTTAACAAACATATAAGGATATACGAGCATTAGCATAGGAAGGTTCACAGTTGGGAGGTACAGTGTAAGGAGAGAAAAAGAGGAGGGATCCCCACCAGTTGGCTGGGGAACCTGTATATTTATGTTACATTTACATGAGAGGTATACTCAGTGTGTTGTGAACCGTATTGGTAAAGTAGTATGGTGTAGATTGGGGGGGGGGGGGGGGGGGGGGGGGAGAGAAAGAGGGGAGGCACCAGTTCGATAAAGAAAGATCATACTGTGGCAGTATCCAATAGTAATCAGTTTATTGAGCAATTAGGGTTTCTTAACCATCAAGACCACTGCCACTGAATTTTAAATTTGTGGTAGGAGGAGTTGTGGAAGGCTGTCCTTTTTTCCATCTCACATTGAAGGTTAATGTCAGATATGAGACGTGATAGAGAGGGAGTGTTGATGGATCGCCATAGTTTTAGTGATGTTAATTTTTGCGGCTGCTAAAATGTGAATAATAATGGTACGTGAATCTGTGGGAAATTTGTCTATTCCGATATGAAGGAGGGCCAAAGCGGGATTGGGGGTTACTGGTGTTCTTGTAATTGAAGAGATTATCTGGAAAACTTTGTTCAGTAGGATCTGAGAGACTGCTGTCTATTTTTAAACCCTTCGTTCACATTTCATGTGGATTGCAAATGCAACCGACCTGCTAATGACTTTAAAAACCTGTTACATCATCTTTGTGCCGGCTGATTTAAAACCCCCAGTAAGGAGGAGTTCAGGAGACTGACTGCTTTATTTTTAGAACAATCATTCAGTCTCTCCAATTAGTCTATGATAAAATTTTAGGCCAATATCCCTACTAAACACAGATCTTAAAATATATGCCAAAATTCGTCTATTAAATATTACCCCTCTTCTCATTCAAGCTCACCAGGTGGGATTTGTAAAAGGCCGACAGGCAGTAGATGGTATCCGTAGGATACTCAACCTGATGCATTTGGTCGAGTCAAGGGGGCTTCAAGCGGTGTTCTTGGCACTGGATGCCGAGAAGGCGTTTGACAGGGTTCACTGGCAATACTTGGATGCTACCCTAACCAAATTTGGTATCAATGGCTTCATAAAGTCGGTCCTTTATGGCGTTTTATATAGTTCCCTCCGCTCAGGTATTCACGTCTAATGCCCTGTCAGCCCCTTTTAATATTACCAATGGTATGAGACAGGGTTGCCGTTTATCTCCCATCATCTTTTCATTGGTGATGGAACCCCTAGCAACCGAGATCAGAAATAATCCACGGATATCAGGCATCCAAGTAGCGTCCACTTCTCATAAAATTGGCCTCTTCGCGGATGATGTTATTCTTACTGTTACTGATCCAACGAATTCTCTCACAGAAATTTCAGCTTCCTTGCAGTCTTTTAGTGAAGTATCTTGTTATAAACGCAACATCACAAAATCTTGTGCCCTTCCAATTGCAACAACGAAGGGTCCCCTGAGTTCCCTCAAGAATAAATTTCCCTACCAATGGACCAATAAGAAATTGGACTACCTTGTGTAGCAAGCGTACACACCGATGGACGCGGTTCAATCATTTTGCGCCAACCCTCCATTTTGTTAAGAATTCTCCATGTTTTCTCATCATCCCCCCTCCCTCTCTGTTCATTCACAGTGACATGTGGCCTGAGTGATGAGAAGTGTCACAGGCGGCCAAAGCACAGCAGGAAGCTCCAAGCTATAAAACCTCAGGAGCTGGGTGCCGAGCTGTCTAAAAAACTGTGCAATCTGGCACATCGTAAAAGTATAAACTGAGTCCCTCACTGAACTTCAAAAGACCTTCCAAGGGGTCATAAAAACAGACTTACTTTTAAAAATCACTTTTCATATAAGTTGATATCTTCACGTAGGACATAACTACCTAAACATTAAGCCTATATTCGGAAGGCTCAGTTTGAGGCCATTCTGCTGGTAAGTGACACCCCTTAGCTGTCATACCTAGGAAAGCAGAAAAGTATATCTCTTGAACCATTCAAGTGTATATTTCATATCTAACCGTTCCACAGATGCGTCTGCATATTAATCTACCCACGGGTGGGACGGTTACATGTACCTTGGAAAAGTTATGTATCATAATAGCAACTATGAGAGCTTCAAGTCATAACTTCGGGCTCCACCTACCCTTCCCTCCCCCAAATAAGGCAATTGGTTGTAGGGAGACACCCTGCTGAGATTGTAGAAATGGGCTGTTGTGCTGAGAGTTGGGTGTGTGAGAGAAAGCAGAGTCTCCCTGTAACATCGAAACTGAATGAGAGACCAGAAATGATTCTTGAGCTCATAAGACTTGAAACTGCTTAACCCAAGGCTGATTGGCAAGTACTTTAACCCTTTAACCTCCTTTCTGTTATCTCTTTGCTGTGCTATTGTTCTCTGTATATTTATATATATATTGGCTACATTTCTTTTCTGTAAATATTTTTATTGCACCCTTTTGACCTTTTAGTAATAAATCTTACTTTCTGAAAGTGTTGAACTGTTTCTAAAGCTTTTTAATGCAACTTACGAATTCCTGCCGCTGAAGAGCGCTACTATGTGTGTTTAACCCTCTGTATAACCTGTCTGCGGTGACAGTGGTATACAGACGATTATCCAACCATCCTAGTGTATTGCTGATATTGCCGAGTTTCCTCTTTCTCTGTACAAAAAGGAGGTGGTGGCAGTGGGAAGGGTTAATTGCTTAATTAACCTGACCCGGTAACAATCTCGCTCAGGCTGCCAGTATATCAATTTGTGGTCCAGTGAGCTGCAAAATCGTTGTGCAGGGTGCGGCTGGGCGTCACATTGTTGCACATGTGACATTGCGGTTTTAGATTGGCTAGTCCTTTGGTCACGAGTTTGGTGGGAAGTCCAGGGGTCTGACGCCGCAATCGTCACACCTTGGTATCTGTATATCTGCTGCATCCTCCCATACTTTCAAAAATAATTTTGAAAAACTGTACCAAGCCACTTTGTTGGAGATGCAACGGCTTGACAAATTTGAAACTTCATGGACAGGTAGATTAGCAGCATTTAAGATGTTAATCTTTCCCAAGATGTATTATTCCAGAACGATCCCAATTTTCATTCCTCGGGCCTATTTCCATAAACTAGAGGTGGCCATAAAATTATTTATCTGGAAAGGGAAAAAAAACGTGGATTCCCTTACTAAACATAAATCGAAGGGAGGAATAGGTCTGCCTGTACTATGTATTATTACGCTACAATCTTAGACCAACTTCTGGCGTGGTTTGTCCCATCAGACAAATTATGGGTACAAATAGAACAGAATGTGATTCCTAATAAAGACTTACGGGTCCTACTTTTGGCTAGATTGGTTTACACCTAAGATTTTAACTACAGTTCTACCGTCTATTACCACAACAATGGAAGCTTGGATAATAGGTTTAAATACACTACCTAATTCCTCTCCCAAACTTCAAATTTATATCCCACTCTCTGCATATGAACACTTCATCCCAAATCTTAATACTAAACCATTAAGGGACCTTGGGTACAGTACATTTGTTGACATAGGACAACCCGTCCCGAGTAAAGGTTTGCTTCCTTTCCTGCAGATTAGGGGATTTCATGGTACTATTCTGGAAACATGGCTAGAGATAGACTCTAAACTATGGCACACTATAACGAACCCTATTAGACTGAATAAAGGAATCTCCAAGTTTTATAAACTTTTACATTATGATCATGATCTCTCTACGTTAAACAGTGTGGGATGGT